ATGGATGGATGGATGGATGGATGGATGGATGGATGGATGGATGGATGGATGGATGGATGGATGGATGGATGGATGGATGGATGGACTGACTGCTCTCTGCAGTGTGTAAAGAAGAAGAACTGATGAACTGTAAATCTATTGTTGGACTCAGAGTCTCCTCTGCAGCTGTATGACTGAGCTTTGTGTTGTTCTGAACTCAGGCTTTAACCACGGTCCGAATGGAGTTTGATGCTTTAGAAGATGAGGCCAACGCCATCCATGAAGACTTGTGGGAGCAGCTGAACATTGGAGGACAGGTAACAATCATCCACAAGGCTGCAATTAAACCATGTCCAAGTTTCCATCAGGTTTTTATCCATTTTATTGTGTTTTCATGTTCACTGTAGTAGAATAGACTGTTTCCAGCTGCAGCAGCTGTCTGACTGTTGACCCTGACAGATGTCTGACAGGTCTGCAGCTCTTCTCTGCCCTGACTGGATCAGATGCTGGTTTTAGGGAAAGTTTAACTTCATATTGATTCATTTTCAACATGTAGACACATTTTTAAATAATACCTCATAGGTCTTTTTAAAATTTCCTTTAAATAGGAAATTATCATCCAAAGTTAAATTAAAGTTCCTTTAATTTGAAACAATAAACACACTCAAATGTACATTTCTTTATCTACATAGGTTTAGCAGCATGTTGTTGTTGATGATGATGATGCTTTTATTGTCATTGTACGGAGCACAATGAAATTACATTTAAGAACACCCATTCAAGAGACACACATGACGAAAACATAGGGGGACAGGTGTACAGGTCATGCAGCAACCAGAAGGGGTCRCGCTACCTTTTGAAAAGAAAAACTAATTACCACAGAATTAGATGAGGAAAAAAAAATAAACGTCATATATCAACAAAAGGTGACACACTGTGGTGCTTATAAAAAAACCTCTACAAGCAAGAGCACATTTATTAGCCAGAGGAGTAGTGAGTTTAGAGGGTGTGTATCTGAATCCATGAATGTTGTATGCACTTGTGTGAATATCTGAAGAATGAGTCCGAAAAATCCAGTCTCCAAAAGATAGACCTCATAGTTTAGCTATTGTTCAGAAAATTGGTGTTGAATTGTTCATTCTGTACAGCTTCAGGTCTTCAAGAGATCAGATTAGACGGGAGTGAGAGGAGGGAGAGATGGGTGGGGGAGCCAAGTTGATATAAACACCAGGAGGAATTTAGTTCCACAGCCTTTTCAAGGTCACGTGTTGGGAGGGGAGACACAAAATTGTAATCAGTTGTTTGGGAACAGAGAAAATGTTCTGGGCCAGGCAGACAATAAMARTTTTCCATCTGCCTTAATGTCCGTTGGTACAACTGAATGTGTTGAATCCAATCAGACAAATAGTGTGGACAATTTCGCCGAGCCGAACTCTCAGATTCTCCAAGATCAATTCCATCTCACCAGCAAAGTCCAGGAACCACAGCCGGCCCCCGACCCTCAGCAGAACCGCTTGCAGACCGAGTCCAGCTTGCACAAGGCTAAAGTCTGAGTACTGAAAGAACGGCATTCCTTCATATTGTTCAGGCAGCCATGAAATAGCCACCAACGCTGTTTTGCAGAACACCAGGAGACCACCAAGCCAATCTGTAGAATCCAGTGATCAGAATCTAAATATATACRTATCCAGAACAGATCAGAACAGAGGTCCCACCTTTGACATGTTCTCCCATGGAAGAAAACTTTGTTCCAAAAATTTATTAAGAGACCAGCTAACCAAATCCATAAAAATAAATCCATAATTTCTGATTTCGAATGAAAACGTAGAGRAGGCTCTGAGCAGCAAAGCAGGGATGATAAKGGAGGGCAGGAGAGAGGGAAAAAGCRTCTTACTCCTCCAAGAGCAGGAACAAAAAAAAAGTTGGACACGGTGGTTAGCACTGTTGCCTCGAAGCAAGAAGGYCCTGGGTTCAAACCCTGGTTCAGACCTGGGCTCTGAACTCTGGTTTCCTCCCACAGTCTAAAAGCCTGCATGTTTAGCTGCCTTCAGGCCCAGGAGGATCTTGACGAAGTGATCTCTGTGAGATTTTCCTGGTTAAACACAAGTTAACAAACATTAACTAAACGTTTATCTGGTAAACAGCCTTTCTGGATTAGGATGTAAAATAAAAACGTTCTCCTGACGTGTTAAAATTCTTCTAGCCTGAATTTGAGTGTCATGGTTTTATGGTCATGGTTGCATCTGTGTAAGAGTGTAAGAGTGGTTAGAGTTSTCGTCCTGGAACCAGTAGGTTGCCAGTTCAGTTTTGCATTCYAGCTGTCTCAGTTGTTGTGCCATTGAGCAAGACACTTCACCACCAATGYCTCTGATGTGTCCCATCAGTGTATGAATGTGATTGGCACTGATTAGTCTCCATAGATGATTTGTACATGTTAGCTTTGTAGAGACCTAATAAAGTGCTGTGTGTGGAGTGCTGATTGTTCAGAAGTTAACAAAACAAAGTGTGAAACGATTGACCAGTGTCAGGTGAGGATCTTCATCATTTCATTTCATGTTGCCACAAAACATCCTTCCAGCATGGCCTCTGCCTTCTCCATGCCTGTCTAAAACCTCAGAACCAAATGGTTCCAGCACCAGACAGTTTGATGTTTTATGACACACTTCTTACAGAACCTCACTGTAGAACTGATGCATGTTTAGTTGAGTTTTAAAGTAAAAATAGCTTGTTTTCCTCTTAACTTCATTTTGTCATAAACATTTCTTTTCAGAGTGAACTAGTTCATAGACACATCCAGAAGGAGTTTTGGAGAGTCCAGGATACGTTAGAGGGACTTCACAAGAACCATTCCTCCAGAGGCACAGACACAGCCAAACACAGAGGTAACACTCAGTTCTGACTGGAAACAGCTGTGTTTGGATGTCCAAAAGACCCYCACTGTTTCTGTTTCCATCCAGTAACCAGTGCTGCATCAGGTTCCTTCGCCACCAACAGTCCAGCCAGTCCCCTGAGCTCTGTCAGCTTAACCAGCCCACTCAGACCCTACTCCCCAATGCCAGGCTCTCAGCCACCCTCCTACAAACAGCCAGGCTCAGAGGTAAGAACTGGATCACCAGCTGAGAGACATCAAAGTCTCAAACCCAGTCTAGATCCTTAGTCAAGACCCAAAACATGTTAGGAACCTGACATACGCTCACCTTTAAAGCCTCTCAGTTGTGAATGTTGTTTCTGTGACACTGATGAMCATGTGCCTCTGGCTCTCAGAACGTCCAAGAGTCCTTTGACAGATTTGACTCAATAATGAGAGGAACAAACAAAACATCATGTGCTGCTCAGTCTGAGACCAACATCTGAACCAGATAAATCCAAAGCCGGACAACAAATCAGTTTTCTATWAGCACCTTGACAGAACTCCAATCATTTTTTAAATATGTGTCATATGTTCTCAAATATATGCCAAAATACATCACCACCCATAGTACATTCCCAGTTTGTGGTTACTTCTCCCTCTTTATAGCCTACCAGGGACTTTGAATTTGCATAATAGGCTGTTCAAACAATTTGRTTGGTTGTCTTCTTTCAACTGACACCTTTTGACCAACTGGGTTCATCTATAGATGCTCCAGAACCCGAAATATGTGGCAAGCCCCTCATGTCCCCAAGTAGGTGGTACACATGGTTGATTGAGTGGAATCGGCCAGTCAGCTTTGAGCATCACACCACAGCTGTGTAGCCAGTCATGCTACCTTTTATTCAATATGCAGTTGTGGAAATGAAAAAAAAAAATGGTTTCACTTCAGTAAATAAATAMTAGTTACAGTTACAAAAACTCTGACTGCTGAAGTTAAAACTTCAGATTGATAGCTGTACATAGAGACTAGGCTTGTCCAAAGGGTTCAAGAGCAGTACTTTATTTAATCTGGGTTAGGGTTAGGCTTAGGCTTAGGCTTAGGTTTGCCGGTTAAAGCATGCTCACATTTATCTGAATTGTTTATGTATGTCAGATGCTTATTTAATACACTTACTTACTCATCAGTTCCAGCATAACCTGTTTGGAAACACAGTATTTGAAATGTTCATCAGAACCAATCATGAATTATTTGACTTGTGTACCTTTCATTTGACACAGTCCAAACTTATTCTGACATTGAGGAAGTTAATGGTTTCAGCTTTAATGGTTGCAGCAAAGAAAAAAAACACTTCAGTCCAAATATCCACTCTCCAGTATTCACTTTGAAGTCCTGAAACCGCTCTGGTGTTCTGAACCTGAGTTTTACCCCACATATCAAAATTTGTCTGGCTCAGTTCTGGCCTATACAACACTCTAACACTAATACACAGTCCAAATGGCACAAAGACTGATGATGGCTCTGTTGGTGGCCCATATGTGGTTTGCCAGAGGTGGTCCATGGGACAGCACCACATAAACCAAACCCCAACTTGGCCGGTCATGGCATGCCCTCTTAAAAACACTGCCTGACCCACATCCAGTTGACAAACTACCTGTCCCACACCTGTCTGCTTTGTGGAACACTTCTAACTCTACCTGACAGTAGTGTCTGTTCACTGGTTTATGATACATGGTTTATTTCTTCCCTGACCTATGAGACTTTCTTCCTCCTGTCTTTTTCTCTTTCCTTACCCTGCCTCATCCACATGGACGTAGGAAAATGTTCCCCCAAGGCCTCCACTCCCCAAGTCCTATTGTCCACTGGAGTCGTCTCCCACCTTTACTCCCACTGTTCCCCCCATGCCTTATGACAGCATCACCTGGCTATGCAACTTGGACAAGAGTGATAGTTACTGTGAAGACTTGAACATCATGAAGGTATATAGATGTTTCTGCCCATGTCCTTCCATCATTCAGTCCTTAACATTATCCCATACCAACCTTTTTATAACAAAACCCAGAATGTCAAAGTCCATCCAAGACTCTTCATGCCCCAAACTCATCCTTCAAACGTTCATGTTTGTCAGAACTCCATCATCTCTCTCCCTGAGCTTTTTTTCTCATTAAACACTATCTGAAACTATTCATACTGAGAAGTTGTGATGCATGGTATAGTTTTATTCAGTTTAACAAAAAGTTCAAATTCTACTGAAGGTGGTTCAATACAAATGTCCCACATCACCAAAGATTATATTAAAGGAGTTTTTTCTAGCAGTCATTTGGTTGAACTACATTCTCACACAGAGACAGAACAGTAAAAGTTAGTCATACTAAAATTTGTTTCAAATGACCACTGTCAACTTTTCAAAGGGTTTATAGTATCGTTCCATTGAACCAAGAACAACCAGAGGGTCCAAAATGAGTGCTAAAGTCTCAGTCACACTGATTTATTTTTATTTTTATGAATTCATGTGCTCTAAACAAACTTGGCTTAGTTTTATTTTGTTTTTACATTTTGAATCTCTCCTCAGTCTGCCTACAAGGTTTTATATCTCAAATATAGTAATGTTATTTGTCTTTACCAGCCCGACCCAGAAGATGTTAGAGATGCTCAGGACCAGAGTCAGGACAAACAGTCCTTAGTTAATAAAGGTACAACAAACCCTTTTTTAATTTATTGTCTTTGAAGGTTGAAGTTCCTTTTCTGGCACGTATTTATGAATGTTCTTCTCTTGGAAAAATGTCAGTTGGCATTGTTCCTCCTAGAACCAAGTCTCCTACTGAAGAATCACATAGAAGTTCTTCTGAAGTTTCACGGCCAATCTCCAAGGTAAGGCATGCCTTCCTTGGTTAAAGGCTTTTGACAAGTCAATTTTTAACTGTGGATACAAACTTGGATTCCAGAGCACCAAAATTACAGGGAGCATCAGTACCACAAAAAAAGCACCCCGTCTTTCATTCATTTAATAACAAAAAATATAGGTGAGATCACTGTTTAATGTTAGCGGTACAACCAAGAAGAGAAGTTTGAAAGTTTCTAATTTCAGGCTTTATAGATAAATAAATCTGTAAGTTGCCTGCATAACAGTGAAAAGAAAAGGGATGTCTGGCTATCACTGATCCGAGTGGCAAAGCATACATCGAGAAAAGGAGAGGACCAAGAATAGAGTCCTGTTGCACACCACTAGAAAAAGAACCAGGAAAAGAAAAGCTCAGAACAAACCCAGGACATACATACATGAATTTATGTGATACTTAGAAGCTGTGCTTGAGTTCCTAAGAACTGAACAAGATTTGAAGAGATCAGCTGTGTCACAACAAACTGAGGAGTGAAGAAAAATCAGTGTTGAATCTTGATTGTTTTCCTCTCACATCTTGTTTCAGGARCGTCCAAAGAGTGCTGTATTTTCTGCAGATATCAAGTCAAAGATGAGTGTGGAGGAGCAGAATGAGCGAATCCGTCGCAACAAGAGCAGCTCTGTGAGGGATAAGAGGAGGAGCCTGAACTTCACAGGTGGACAGTCTCCAGCCAACTACAGAGTGGTGAGATCAGCTCCATGTTTGTCACTGAAGCTGTTTGGTTGCAATTTATTCACTGCTGCTCATGTTGGAGGAAAGTTGGACAAAGCTGGAAAACTTGTGTGAACGTTTTATACTTTAAAAAAGTAAAGTTTGCATTTATAAAGAAAACAATCAGTGGCAGAGTGTAACGATAGGTGGTTTGAAACCAAAGTGCAGGCAGACTCGAAGATGAATGAAAAAACAAAAACTGGTTTATTAAATAACAAAAGAAAAAGGCTAACGTGGCAGCATAGAACTAACAAAAAATAACAAGAACGAGGCTTGAGGCATGAATAGAGCAATGATCCGATGGGGCAATGAAGACATGACATTGGTTAAATACAACTGAGGTTGATTGGGAGTGGAAGCACCTGGGTGATTAAAGATGATGGACAGGTGAGAGTGGCAGGCTGGAAAAACACTAAGAAGCTACTGAGGAWAACATGACACAGGAAATGGAGAAAACTAACGGGAAATAAGAAAATAAGACAAGATGGCCAGACAATGAAACAGAATAATTCTAACAAAATGAACTATGAGAAAAACAAGAATCATGACACAAAGGTGATCATTTTGAGTGTTTTTGGAAGTCAGGTTTAAACTGAACACAGAGGAGAGTGATGTGGTCTAATCAGTATACAAACTATGTCTTTTTATTGTGTGTGTGTGTGTGTGTGTGTGTGTGTGTGTGTGTGTGTGTGTG